GCAGTGTTTTGTAGTAGCCACTTAGTCACAGACCCTGGCCAAATTTAGCTTTCATATTTGTCTTTTGCATTTTTTCACCAATAAAACTGCACTTTCACTGATGAAAACCTGATGTCCAGTTTTCTTGGTGTTTTGGAAAGTTACAAGATCAAATATAAGACTTGCCCATTCCAGTTTTTACACATTGAAATTTGTCAAATTGCTTATGTTGGCTTAGAGACCGTATGGCATACCAGGAATGAAAATTACCCCCATCATGGCATACCATTTGCAAAAGAAGACAAGCAAAGGTGTTCAAAGAGGAGTATGTCCAGACTTTTTAGTAGCCACTTAGCTACAAACCCTGGCCAAAGTTACTTTTTATATTTTTTTTTTTTGCATTTTTCTTTGATAATATCATTGTCATGATATATTTTAATGTTTTTAAAATGCTCATATCGGTGTTTCCGCAAAGTCTCCTGAGTACAACAGTATCCTATTACTTCTACAACATCTTAATTGCTCAGAATTTAGCAGGACTGACCTTATCTTTGTAAATAGATAGTCAGATTTATCTATTTATATATCATAAATAGCTGAGAATACAATAAAAAAAGGGATTTGGAAGCAATAACTTTTTCTCTTTAAAATAGTTTATTGAATATGGACAATGTATAAAAACTAAATAATCCATAAAAATAAAAGCAGACTAAAAAAAAAGTGAAAGGTATATGCTTGCAATATAAGAAAAATAAAGTCACATATCCTCCTTATCATTACAGGTTAATCTCCCATTCTTGTGTTCATGCAGCTGCAAAAACGTGCTCTCCCAATTGTGTCAACTAACTAATAATAATGCATATAATACATTAAAACAGTTAAAGCGGCACTGTCATGCCGAATCACGTTTTTTTTTTTAACCCCCCTCCCGCCTCCACTACATCCAATTGACCCACTAGTCACCCCCAAATGCCCCTAAGCCCCCCACATTACCTATTTTTTAATCCTTATTTTCTGCCCCGATCTATATTCAGGGCGCCGCCATCTTTGTGTGGGTAGGTGAAGTCCCTCAGGGACACGTCATCAGCCCACACTAGACAGACTGTGAGATTCCCGCACATGCCCAGTGAAACACCTGGACATGCGAACGGGAATTTCATCTCTTCATTCATTCATCAGACAGACGAATGAGTGAATAGAAATATCAGCCGAACAAACTAACACACTGTATCAGTGTTAGTTTGTTCGTTCAGTTTATTACAAGGAGGGAGCTACCGGCACGCAGCTCCCTCCTTGTAATATGTAACTATAGAAGCGGCAGGGAGCAGTGCTCCCCACCACTTCATAAGCCCCCCCAGGTCCCCCTCTCACTCTATGGGGGTCAATATGACCCCCATAATAGCACAAGAGAGATTAAAATCTCCCAAATGCCCCTACTCGCTATACCGCGAGTAGGGGCATGTCTACTAAACATGTTTTTTTAAATTTCCTTTTTTTTATTTTTTTTTTTTCTGTGTTCTGGTTTCCCCCCCTTTTTTTGTGTGCTGCTGCTTGATTGATTGGGGGAGTGTTTATTAATTACACCTGTGTGGGATTTGTATCCCCATAAAGGCACACCCCTAACTCACTGAGCTTGCTCACATTATTTGAAAGCAGCCTCTATTAAGTAGACTCTTTCAAGTAGGAGTTAGAAAACCAGGAGTTACAACAAACAAAGGGTTCAAACTATCAAGGTAATTGTTTTTATTTACTGTTTAAAGGGGAAATGAGTGTTAGCAAGATTGCTGGTTTAACTCAATGCACATCTTGTTGCATGTATGGATGCCTGGATGTACCCATCCAGGGTCCATACCTCTGTGATGGTTGTGTGCGAGTGGCTTCTCTGGAAGCTCAGATTGGAGATCTTGAGAAGCAAATCGCAACATTGAGGGAGATTGATAATCTTGAGAGGAGTCTACTGCTCACTGAGCAGAGTTTAGTGGGGACAGGTAGTGGAGAGGGAGGAGATAAGACAGATGGGGAACAGGCATGCAGCTGGGTGACAGTGGGGCGAGGAAGCAGGGGGGGAGGGAAGAGGAAAGGGCTAGCTAGTCCTGATTTGGTGCAACCTAGCAGATTTGCCCGCTTGAGGGAAGATGTTGGGAGCATCAGCTCAGGAGTAGCTGTATTAGAGGAAGCTGTTACTTCTAACAGCCGAGCTAACAGCCCCCCTAGTACGGGTGGGGATCAAAATGTAAGGAAGGCAAGACAGGTTGTGGTGGTAGGGGACTCTATCATTAGGAGAGCAGATAGGGCAATCTGCCGCTCTGATCGGCTCAACCGGACAGTTTGCTGTCTCCCGGGTGCTCGGGTCCGGCATGTTGCTGACAGAATGGATGGATTATTGGGAGGGGCTGGGGATGACCCAGCGGTCATGGTCCATGTTGGTACCAATGACAAAGTAAGAGGAAGATGGAAGGTCCTAAAGAATGATTTCAGGGAATTAGGTAGCAAACTTAAGAAAAGGACCTCCAAGGTGGTATTCTCTGAGATATTACCTGTGCCACGTGCTACAGTGGAAAGGCAGCGGGAGATTAGAGAGGTCAATGCGTGGCTTAAGTCTTGGTGCAGGAAGGAGGGTTTTGGGTTTTTAGAGCACTGGGCCGACTTTGCGATTGGGTACAACCTTTATAGTGGTGATGGATTGCACCTAAACGGGAGAGGGTCTGCAGTGCTGGGGGATAGGATGGCTAGAAGGTTGGAGGAGATTTTAAACTAGTAGTAGGGGGGGAGGGTCATAGCAATCTACAAAATGGAGATAGGACAGAAAGGAGATGGGCTTTAGCACAGTATAAGGGGGGTGGAAACGGGGGGAGGGGCAAGCTCAGAACAGAGAAGCTGTGTAATGTTGAAAATTCACAAAATATACAAGTGGCGCATAATATTAAATGTATGCTTACTAATGCAAGGAGCCTAAATAACAAAATGGGGGAACTAGAGGCATTAGCATACACTAAACAATATGATATAATAGGCATAACTGAAACATGGTGGGATGAGACACATGACTGGGCAGCTAACTTAAATGGGTACATGTTATTTAGGAAGGATAGGAAAAACAAGAAGGGTGGTGGGGTATGTTTGTATGTCAAACATGATTTAAAGCCAAATGTTAAGCAAATGGAATGCGAGGAGGATAATGTGGAAGCTTTATGGGTAAATATCTGCTTGGGGGAAAAGAAGGGAAACCAACTATTGGTTGGGATATGTTATAAACCACCTAATGTTAATATTGACGAGGAACAACAGCTGTTTGAGCAAATTGAGAAAGCTGCAAATCTAGGTAACACTTTAATTATTGGAGATTTTAATTACCCGGATATAAATTGGGACAGAGGGACTAGTGCCTCAGCAAAGGGAATTAGGTTTTTAAACTTGTTAAATGACACCTTCATGTCACAACTTGTACAAGCAACTAGAATGGACGCTTGTCTGGACCTGGTTTTAACAAACAACGTTGATCTTTTGACCAACATTCAAGTAGGTGAGCACTTGGGAAATAGTGATCACAATATAGTGTCCTTTGAAATAAACTCAAAAAAACAAAAGCACATGGGGAATACTAAAACATATAATTTTAAAAAGGCCAATTTCAATAAGTTAAGGGAAGCTTTACAATATATTGACTGGCATAAACTCTTTAGTGAAAAGAACACTGAGGATAAATGGATCATCTTCCAACAAATATTACAAAGGTACATTTCTCAGTATGTACCATTGGGAAATAAATATAAAAGAAACAAATTAAAACCAACATGGCTTAGTAGAGAAGTAAAACAAGAGATTACAACTAAGAGAAGGGCATTTAAAGCATTTAAATCGGACAAATCAGATGCATCTTATAAAAGATATAAGGATGCAAATAATGCGTGCAAAAAGGCAATTAGACTTGCTAAACTTCAAAATGAAATAATGATAGCTGAAGAGAACAAAACCAACCCCAAAGCATTTTTTAAGTACATAAATTCTAAAAAAAAACAAAATGAAAGTGTAGGTACACTAAAAACTGAAACGGGGGTGTTAATTAATGAAGACCAGGAAAAGGCAGGAATTTTAAATAACTTTTTCTCCTCCGTATATATTAAGGAAGAACCCATGGCAATAGATATGCAAATGATTGCTACTAAAAACTTGCAGAATAATTGTAATTGATTAACTCAAGACAAGGTGCTGCAGCAACTAAAGAAAGTTAATATAAACAAAGCTCCAGGGCCTGACGGTATCCATCCACGTGTACTTAAGGAACTAAGTGCAGAAATAAGTGAACCTCTGTTTTTAATCTTTCAAGATTCTTTTCTTTCAGGGAGTGTTCCAGAGGATTGGAGGAAGGCAGATGTGGTTCCTATATTCAAAAAGGGTTCAAAATCATTGCTTGGAAATTATAGACCTGTGAGCTTAACTTCTGTGGCTGGTAAAATATTTGAAAGTTTATTAAGGGATAATATTCAAGAATTCCTTGAGAAGAACATGGTTATCAGCAAAAATCTGCATGGTTTTATGAAGCACAGGTCATGTCAAACTAACTTGATTGCGTTCTACGAAGAAGTAAGTAGAAGTATAGATCAGGGTGTTGCCGTGGATGTGATCTTTTTGGATTTTGCCAAGGCATTTGATACAGTTCCACACAATAGATTATTGTTCAAACTCAAGGAAATCGGTCTAGATGAAAATGCTTGTTCTTGGGTAGAACATTGGCTTAAAAACAGAGTACAAAGAGTTGTCATTAATGGTAAATTTTCAAAGCTGGACAGAGGTGGCAAGTGGTGTCCCTCAGGGGTCTGTTCTGGGACCCCTTCTATTTAACATGTTTATAAATGATCTTGAAGACAGCATTGAAAGTCATGTTTCAGTGTTTGCAGATGACACCAAACTTTGTAAAACAATACAATGTGAGCAAGATATTACTTTGCTGCAGAGGGACTTAGATAGACTGGGAGACTGGGCACTCAAATGGCAGATGAAATTTAATGTTGAAAAATGCAAAGTTATGCACTTCGGCGTAAAGAATACACAAGCAACGTATACCCTTAATGGAGGCGAATTAGGGATAACAACACATGAAAAGGACTTGGGAATTGTTATAGACAACAAACTATGCAACAATGTGCAATGTCAATCAGCAGTGGCCAAGGCCAGTAAGGTATTGTCATGCATGAAAAGGGCATTCATTCTCGGGACGAGAATATCATTTTGCCTCTTTATAAATCACTGGTAAGACCCCATATTGAATATGCTGTACAATTTTGGGCACCTGTTCTAAAGAAGGATATTATGGCACTAGAAAAAGTGCAGAGGCGGGCTACAAAATTAATAAAAGGAATGGAACATATCGGCTATGAAGAAAGGTTAACAAATTTAAACCTATTTAGTTTAGAAAAACGTCGCCTGAGAGGGGATATGATAGCATTATACAAATATATTCGGGGCCAATACAAACCATTGTGTGGAAATCTATTCACAAACCGGACTTTACATAGGACACGAGGCCATGCGTTTAGACTGGAAGAAAGAAGATTTCGCCTAAGGCAAAGGAAAGGTTTTTTTACTGTTAGAACAATCAGGATGTGGAATTCTCTGCCTGAGGAAGTGGTTTTATCAGAGTCCATACAGATGTTCAAGCGGCTACTAGATGCATACTTGCAAGAACAGAATATTCAAGGATATAATCTTTCAATGTAGGGTAATAACTGCTTGATCCAAGGATAAATCTGACTGCCATTCTGGGGTCAAGAAGGAATTTTTTTCCTAGCTTGTTGCAAAATTGTGCTTCAAACTGGGTTTTGCCTTCTTTTGGATCAACAGCAAAAAACAAATGTGAGGAAGGCTGAACTTGATGGACGCAA